TGCCCCGGAGGTGACCACATGGCGTGGCAGACCTCTCCTGACCCGCCTGCTGCTCCCCTCAGCAGTGTACTTTGTCGATCTGCCTGTTCTGCTCCCCACTCCATCCCTGGTGAAGCCTCTCGCTGCCCCTGCGGCTCTGGCCTGTACCCCAGCTTTGTATGCATAAATTTAAAAAAAAAATTAAAAAAAAATGACCATCCTACCAAAAGCAATTTATAGAGTCAATTCTATTCCAGTAAAAAAATTCAAATATATTCTTTGAAGAAATAGAACAGTCCCTCCCTAATGGTGCAGTGGGTTAAAGCACAGCACTGCAAGTTAGCCTCAGCTGCTTCAGGGCGAGTTCAATCCCTAGCTCTGGGGGTGATCCACATGGCTTGGCAGACCTCTCCTGACCTGCCCACTGTTCTCAGTATACTTCATCAGTCTGCCTATTTTGCTCCCCACTCTGTCTCTGGTGAATCCTCTCACCACTCCTGCACCTTTGGCTGCACCTCAGTTCTGTATACATAAAGAAATCTTAAAAATAAATAAATAAAACAAATACTGATGAAATTTCTACAGAGCCACAAAAAAACCCCAAGTAGCCAAAGCTCTCTTGACTAAAAAGAAGGGGAATGGAGGTATCAACTCCCAGACTTTAAATTATACTACAAAGCCATAATAATCAAAAGTGCATGGTACTGGAACAAAAACTGACACACAGACCAATGCAATCAATTAGAAAACCCAGAAATAAACCCATAGATTTATGGACAGCTAATCTTTGACAAAGGAGCAAGGAATATGCAATAAAACAAGAAAAGTTTGTTCAATAAATAGTACTGGGAAAACTGAGCAGCTATATATAGAAGAATGAAACCCAAAGCCAAGATAGTGAAGGAAAAAATAAGCAGCTGGAACTACATCAAAGTAGAGATCTTCTGGATAGCAAAAGAGACACTACCCAAAACAAAGAGACACCCACTGATTGGAAGGAAAATTTTGCACACAATACTAATAGTAAGGGACTAATCGCAAAGATCTACAAAGAGCTGATAAAACAACAAAAACAAAGTAAACAAACCCAGTCAAAATGAGCAGGGGGCAGGGGGGCCCTCCCTGGTGGCTCACGGGTTAAAGCACAGCACTAAGAAGCTAAAGCCACTTCAGCATGAGTTCGATCTCCACCCCAGAGGTGATCCACATGGCACGGCAGACCTCTCCTGACCCACCCACTGCTCCCCTCAGCAGTGTACTTCATCAGTTGGCCTGTCCTGCTCCCTACTCTGTCTTTAGTGAATCCTCTCGCTGCCCCTGCACCTCTGGCCTGTACCCAAGTTCTGTATGCATAAATAAATCTTTTTAAAAAAATAAAAATGAATCTCAATAACAGTCTCTGAATAAAAAAAGAAGTTGAGAAAATTAAAAAAAAAAATGGGCAAAGGAACTAAAAAGATATTTCTCCAAAGAGAAAATACAAATGGCCAATAGGCATATGAAAAAATGTGCAATATCACTTGTAATCAGGGTAATGCAGATCAAAACCACAATGACATACCATCTTGCAGCAATGAGAATATTACAAAACTAGCAACAGCAAATGTTGACAAGGACGTGGGGAAAAAGAAAACCTCTTACATTGCTGGTAGGAATGCAAACTGGCTCAACCACTATGGAAAGCTGTGTGGAGGTTCCTCAAACTACTAAAAATGGAGCTTCCATATGTTCCAGCAATTCTACTTCTAGGTATTTACCCAAAGAGCACAACAAAACATTAATTCAAAAGGATACCTGCACCCCTATGTTTATTGCAGTACTATTTATAAAAGATAAGATATGGAAACAACCCAAATGCCCAATAGATGACTGGATCAAGAAGATGTGGTGTATATATACAATAGAATATTACTCTGCAATCAAAAAAGATAAACTCATGCCTTTCACAGGAACATAGATGGAGCGGGAAGGGATCTTGCTCAATGAAATAAACCAGAGGGAAAAAAAAATCAGATGGTTTTAGAGGGTTGTAGGGGATCTAAATAAGGGATCAGGAAAAATAAAAATAATTATAATAAAGTAAAAACCAAAATCAAAAGGCAGCTGTAAATCAGACACCCTCTGCAGTGAGGGGAGGAGGGAGTAGGATCAAAATAGGGGTGGGAAGAGCACAAGGGACTGTGGTGATAGAATATAGGTGAATTGGTGGTGGGAATTTCATAGGGATTAACGCCCAAGATGATAAAGCATACGTTGTATAAAAATTAAGACAGTTATAAAAAATATATAAAACAATAATAAAACATACATAAATAAAAGAATATAGAGCTATTGGGAAATAATTTCCAGAAAGACTTGAGATGATTTAACCACTGTATGCACATTTAATTCTTCCTTTCAATGTCATAATTGCTTTTTCCTGTGAGTGTAGGAAGCATTTTAATCTTGGCTACTTCTGTGACTCAGAGATCTTTTAGTGGCTACTGTTACACTCTAGTATGTGGCGCCCCAGGTACATCAGATAGATGTTCTCAGACTAGCTACACAGACCTACTTGGAAGCCCAGTTCGCCATGCGGAAGGCAGCATAGTGACAGAACCTGACAATATAAGGTGCTACTATGTTCATTTTAATGCTCTGAGGTTCCCCTAATGAATTTTTAGGCCAAACTAATTATTTCCTGCTGTCTTTTCCTTTGGCCTCAGCTCTGCTTGTAGTTTTTCCTGCGACATTCATCTGTTGTGTAATGTGGTTCTCAGACAGGCTTTTTTTCACTTTCCATTTCTTGCACTTTGTCGCTCAGTTTCAGGCAACCCAGCAACCAGCAATTGCTCAGTTCCCTGTGGCATCCCAAGGAAGCTCTCAACAGCAGCTGATACAGAATTTCTACCAGCAGCAGCAGCAACAACAGCAACAGCAGCTGGCCACAAACGTGCATCAACAGCAGCTGCTGACTCAGCCAACTGCCTTGCAGCAGAAAACTGCTGTGGCAGCAGCACAGCAGCCCCAGGCCCAGCCAGCTACCACCCCACAGCCTCCCCCTGCCCAGGAACCAGCAGTAAGAATCAGCTGGACTCAGCAGAAGCGGAAGGGCTAGGGGATGGTTGGAAAGAGGGGGCAGCAGCTAGTAGGGGAGTCCTTAGAGGGCCTAGCCTTTTCCACATGGCTTGGACTGAAATATCTTATCTTTTCTTGATATAGCTAACAATGAGATAAGGTATTCTATAGAGGACAGGTTTTTAAAGTATCATTTTAGGCTGCTGACGAAGATAAATATTCTAACTTATCACTCTAAAATTAGACTGGCAGAAAAAGCTATTTATTTTCTCTTGTTAGTGTCCTGTTGAGTGATTAAGGAGTAAGGTAGGATTAAAACTAATCCATTTCCCCGCGTCAAGGGTAAGTTTGACCACTGTGACCCTTCCAGCCTGTGAGAAATGCTCCTTTTTACCCTGAGTCCTGTATTTGGTCTTTTCTATTGGGTGACACTACCAGCCACCTGTCATGCAGACTCTTCTAGGGCCTGCTTGCCTACGACCATTTCTTAATCCCTCTGGGCATGAGAACATGTAAATACTGCTTGCACCTTCTTGTCAAGTGAAAAATTGGGTGTGTCTACTTCTAGGTACTTCTAGTATGTATACTAGTATATATACTTCTAGTATAGCATCAGAACTCCTAGATCCTCTTGGGTTGACCTCGACTTTTTCAGCATCCTTATGAACATTGTACTTTGGTCTGATATGCTCCCTTAATTCTCTACTCATATTTTTCTGAATGTAGAAAATTTTATAGTGATAGAAAAAGGCATTTTAGGTACCCAGCTCATAGCGTATCATGACCACTTTCTTATTCCAAGGAAGTCCAGAACAAAGGAAAAGTAAACCATCTTTCTGAGGATTATTTTCTAATAGTTTTCTCGCCCATCTTAAAACAGAAAACCTCCACCCCTTTAAAAGGAAGCAATACTGTAAATAGATTGTCTTCTTTAAGTCTAAACTAAGTGTGTTCAGTGTTTTTACACCTCTATTTCGAAACAACTATTCTTCCTGCAGGCATTTGATAGACACAACTACTTTGTATTTTTAACAACAGGTAAAATTTTTCTTGGTTATGGAAAAAGAATTGAAAAAATACGGTATGAGATACTGTTGAGATCTTAATTATCTAGTACAGTTTTCTCAGGTTATAGAATGGAAACTGAGGCTCAGACTAGAATGTTATTACTTAACACACACAGACTGACAGCAACAGAGCTGGGGCAAGAACCTAAGGATCCTCACCTGGATTCCACAGTAGTAACAGCAAATGTTCTTCCAGGGTCATGGACTCATCAAGTGCCACTGGCTGACTTCTCAGAGGTTCCCCTCTGCTGTCCCTGAACAAAAGTACCCACTTCCTTAGGAATGAATTATAAGCTGTCTCTTTATTTCTTAGATGAAAAAATTCTTTGAGCGCTTTGCTCAGGGGTGGTTGGTGTGGAACTGAGAAGGAACAGAACATACTTCAGCCAGGAGGCAGAGCACTTTCAGCTCCGACCCACCCTTCCTCCTTGATCCTTGGCAAGACTTAACTAGAGAAGCAAGTCAGTGGATGTAAACAATACCCTGCCATATCTTAAAACATTAATCTGCAAAGATAAGATGGCCGTGTGCCACTGATACTTTTATTGCCATCTTAAAAATAGCCAAGAGAATGAGAACCTGAATTTTTCACCATCCCAACTATCCAGTCATTAGAAACCATGGGCATAAAGCCTGTCAAACAGTATGAAAATGCTCATATGGTGATGTTAATACATATGGGAAAGTATGTGCTTAGAAAAAGACAAATAAAAGATACAAAAGAGAGGGCCCTCCCTGGTGGTGCAGTGGGTTAAAGCACAGCACAAAGAAGCTTAAGCCACTTCCGCATGAATTCGATCCCTGCCTGCCCTGGAGGAGTTCCACATGGCACGTCAGACCTCTCCTGACCCGCCCGCTGCTCCTCTCAGCAGTGTACTTCATCGATCTACCTGTTCTGCTCCCCACTGTCTCTGGTAAATCCTCTCACCACCCCTCAGCCTCTGGCCTGTACCCCAGTTTTGTATGTACAAATAAATAAATCTTTAAAAAAAATACAAAAGAGATAAAAACTGTTCTAGAGAGGTGGAGTGGAGATATGGGTGCTTTTTCCTTTCTTGTCAGTGTTCTTATATTCCTTGATATGAATTGGACTCTCTTCTATATTATATATTTTCTCTTACAGCAAGGTACATACCTGTCTTGCTTCCCTGTGGTCTCTCTTCCTCTTCCTCCTCCTTCCTAATGCTATCTTGAACTAAAAGGCGTGTTGTGCATAAAAGAAGTCCTGAGCTATAATGACTGTCTCCTATAGTCACTGTTGTAGGTATAATCTTGAAAAGTTGTGGGGCAGGAACTCTAGTCTTCTTCATAGAGTGCTCTTCTTTTTCCTCAGAGATACAGTCAGCTGCTTTACCTTCTAACCCAACTGTGATAGATCATAAAACCTTCTATTCTGTTATTCCCTAGTGGCGAATAGTTATATATGCACATAGACACATAACCTATCTCAGTAAAATTCAAAGTCAGTCTGTATAAGTACAGAAGTTCCCAAGCCTGTCAGCATCCTGACCCAAGTAGCTGAACCTCTGGTTTCATTTCTCTCTCTCACTCAGGGCCTCCCTTTGAAACACAAAATGTGAGAACTGAGGTGCAGCACGGAGGGACAGCTCTAATCGGAATTGAGGGCCTGGTGGAAAGGGATAGGTAAATACCCAAGACATTAAATAGCCAAAAACATTTTATCTCTGGATTAAGGGTTAGGTGGCCTTAATATTAGTTTTGTTCATTTTCTTGATAACAGCACTTTGTAGATCATGGCTTATGCTTAAAGGTTAACCATGTGGCCACAAGGATGTTCCCACCTTTTTGTTTTCCTATGACAGTTTGTCCTGCCTTCAGAAAAACACCCACATCTCAAGAAAACTTGTGTTATTAAATCAGTCATGTTCAGGGCTTTTAAATGTTTTTCTTCCTTATTATATTCTTTGCCTGGATCTTCAGCATCATTTCCAAACTGAAGACTGGAACAATTTAATCTTCCTGTCCCAATGCTGTGGCATTTTCTCAGATGTCGAATCTTAAACAAAGCCAGCACTGTAACTTATTAATCAGAGTGGAATTCTGTCTAACTTACTCCTAATTAGTAACTTAAGCTATGTCATAGACTCAGGGATCTCTTAGCAGAAATCTTTCAGTTCAAATATGTTTTACCTGGAGGTGTGTCTTCATTAGCTGCTGACTGTGGAAGGGGAATTGTAAAGCCTGCCCTTTGTAGGCATTCTGAAATGCATTTACTTCTGTGATCCCAGAAGTAAAAAGTTAAGATACATTCTATATCTTTAGAATTGGATGTAGGTTCTGTGGTCAAATTCTGGGTTGAATCGCATATGGTGACTCTTTATATTGTTTCTGAAAAAAACATACATATGCAAAGCATCACACAGAAAAAAATTGAAATTTACATACAAGTACCTACCAGATGAATACTATGTCGGTATCAGTCCCAAAACTGTAGCTCAGAAGTTTACAAAATCTGCTTTATTTTCTTCTGGATATTATTGATAAACTCAGCCATTTAATCACAAGTTAATGTTCATGTGGCATTTTTTTGTTACACTGTTCATTTGATTTTCCTTTCTCCCTGCTTTTCTCTTTTTTATGAAATACTTTTTAATCTCTCTTCCTAGCAGATTCAAGCCCCAGGAAGACAACAGCCAAAGGTTCAGACAACTCCGCCCCCTGCTGTCCAGGGGCAGAAAATTGGCTCTCTCACTCCTCCATCATCCCCCAAGACCCAACGTGCTGGGCACAGGCGAATTCTCAGTGATGTAACCCACAGTGCAGTCTTTGGGGTTCCTGCCAGCAAATCAACCCAGCTGCTCCAGGCAGCTGCAGCTGAAGCCAGTCTCAATAAATCCAAGTATGTGATGCTTCCCATTTATCCTTCATACTTTTGTGGGTGAGGGCTACCAGAGGCCATTACTGTGTGATGCTTTGCATATGTATGTAGCCGTGTGTAGAATTATGTGTGGTGTTATACACGTGTTTAATAATGAACTGAAATTGCCTATAGTGTATGGATCGAACTATTCTAAAGAAACAGTTTCCTACTTAGCTCACTGTTCCCCTTCTCTCATCCATTGCATACTTTTATAGAGTGTTTTCTAAATTCTTGATCTAACCAATTCTCTACATACTGAAGGCCTTGCATTGGCTCCCCATTGCCTGTCTAAACTCATTGGTTAACAGATCAAGACCTATTTCATCACACTGGCAGACTTGTGAATGTCCATCTTTACTTTCATACTATGTCATCTCCCCATACTGCTGTTGTCCTTTTTGTCTGTTTAGGAAATGTTTATTTATTTATCACCATGTATGTAAGAAGCTACTTTTCCTTTTGTATTTCCACTGGTATCATATAAAATTTATCCGACCCTTTTTTTTTTTTAGCATGTATCACATGGCATTATCACTATCTGTGTATCTAGTGACCTAGCCTGTGAGTTCCTCCAAGACAAGGATGGTGTTGTAACCTCTGAAAATCCAGTGACTTACTCTGTGCCTGACATAGAGTGCCATGAACAATCTTTATATCATTAGCTAAATACAAAAGGTATTAAGAAAGATGTTTGAAGAAAATTAAGTAATGATACCTAGAAGCACAAGACAGTGGTAACTGCTTTAATTGTGATGATGACCTCTGATGATGACCTTTCATTCTATGAATACTAGATCCTGAGACATGTGTGATAGTGAGAGGAGGCTTTCAGGCCCATCCCCTCCTCAGTCAGTCATTGCGGTTGTTACTTTTAGAAACACTATCGAACATAATGGTTTGATTCAGAAAATAATTTGATCTTGAAACAAAGAGAAAGTAGGTTGATCCTTTTCAACTTTTATTTGTCTTTTTATTTCTCGGGGATGGGAACCAACCTAGGTCTGCAACCACCACGCCATCAGGCTCCCCTCGGACCTCCCAGCAAAATGTTTATAACCCATCAGAAGGTTCTACGTGGAATCCATTTGATGATGACAATTTCTCCAAACTGACAGCTGAAGAATTGCTAAATAAGGATTTTGCCAAACTAGGTGAAGGTGAGTTACTGGTGTCTTTTTGTGATACTTTGAACTCTAGAGAGATATGCATGTAAAAATATAAGCTTGGTTCAGTCTTTCCATCAGAGGCTTAAATTGGAAATATGTTAAAATTGATACACTATTTACCATGTCAGTAAAGTTTTTTGTCCTCCAGAAATTCTGGTCTGTTGTGGCATTAGACAGAGGTACAGCATAGGTCAGAAGGATAGTGTCAACAATGGTCACTCCTTGGAGGAGTGTGACAGTTCCCTTGTTCTAAGTGAATTTATTATCCCAGAAAGTTGAAGGGACTTGCCTATGATTTTACCCTCACATGGACAGATCAGCGTATGTACTAATGTTGACTTACTACAGAGAATCGATTTGCCATTCCTGCCTATAAAAACTCAGAGTCTAATTTCAAAAACAGGACACACGCACTTTGGAAAACAAAAAACACACACCTGGGAAAATTGTCCAATATAATACATTCTGTAAAGACTATGGCACTGTAAATAAACTCACAGGATAATGGAATTATTAGATCCAAATGAATACTAGAAACTTTGACCATACATGTTAGCTTTATTATTTTATGAATATTATTTAAAACTATATTGCTTTCTTACCTTTTGAAACAAAAAAGAGGGCATATGATTTAACTTAATTTAGCAACAGATTGTCAAAATTGTTTCATTGTTACATACACCAGATAGTGCTCTGGAGTTTAAAAGTTCTAGAATATAAATAGAAAACTGTAATATTTTTGCACTTGATTATAAAAATCTTGTGTCTGGTTTTAATAGACATTTAATAATGATGTTTTTCTCTCTCCTCTCCTTGTTTGTCATTGTGCCTGTTCCTCCAGCATTTCACTATTGCCATACTGACCACTTCCACTTCTCATGTGTTCTGTTTATCTCTTTTCATCCTGGGAAGCACATCCCCAAACTCATTAGAATTATATAAAAATAAATACACGAGTAAGGGCTGGAGGCATTCTGTCCTATGCAGTGTGCTCAAGCTTTAGGGCTTTGGCTCTATCTCTTTGGTTGCTTTTCATTTACTTGTTTAATTTTTTTGCTAAAGTATGTGGACCATAAAAATTTCTATAAATCATTTTTCAGTGTACAGGTCAATAGTGTTAATTACACCCACATTATTGTGTAACCAACTGCCAGGACTCTTTTTCATCTTGCTCTTGCAACATTAATTTTTTTTTTGTCTTTTGAGTCTTAAAACTTCCTTACTTTTTCTCAGCTGTTCTCTTGCAAGGACTTAAATAGCTAAGGTGTTGCCATGATGCAGTAAAAGAAGTCTAGGGTGCCTTTCACCGCCAACATTTGTGGGTCAACCTTGAGATTCTCTGCTGCAGTGAACTGAATGGTGTGTTCCCCTCTAGGCAAACATCCTGAGAAGCTGGGGGGTTCAGCTGAGAGTTTGATCCCAGGCTTTCAACAAACCCAAAATGATGCTTTTGCCACTTCCTCGTTTTCTACTGGAACCGGTTAGTATGAGCAATACCTGAAACACAAAGCTCACTGTTCCTACCTCTGCACTATTTCTACACCACAAATAACTCTTTCATGGCAGGGAAGTACAAATCCTGATGGTAACTTATGTTTTCTTTATTCAAAAGATTTAAAGACCAAAAAAAAAGGAACAGAGGAAAAACCTAAAATCACTTTGAATTCAAATGACAGAATGACCTGACAGAATGACCTGGTAATATATAGGATGTGTTCCTGGTATTTTGTGGACATGTGTTAAGCAACTATTTCCTCTTGAGGAACACCACTCTGTTAACCACTTGCAATTGTATTGATTGGAGGAATTATGAGAATTAGGTGTTCTGTCTTACATTTGAGATGCTACTGAACTGCATGCGTGTGTTATACCCACATAGGAAAAGGGAGTTATCTTTCTAAATGAGCCTTTTAAAAAATTATAGAAACAGGCCCTCCCTGGTGGCACAGTGGGTTAAAGCACAACACTGAGAAGCTAAAGCCACTTCCGCATGAGTTTGATTCCCGCCTGCCCTGGAGGTGACCACATGGCGTGGCAGACCTCTCCTGACCCGCCCGCTTCTCCCCTCAGCAGTGTTCTTCGATCTGCCTGTTCTGCTCCCCACTCTGTCTCTGGTGAAGCCTCTCGCCACCGTGAGCCTCTGGCCTGTACCCCAGTTCTGTATGCACGAATAAATCTTTAAAAAAAATTATAGAAACAATAATAAAAAACTTTTCCCCTTTATTAATAAAAATTATATACTTACTATATAAAACGTAGTAATTTATAGAAAAGCATAGCCCAGGGATACCACTTTGATGTCTATTAATGTCATTTAACCTTTTTTAGGATTGTCAGTGTATTTGAGAGTCTAATGAAAGTTATAGATCCCCTCTCACCAAAAATACATAACCACAATTAAATATATAACTTTCAGCCTCTGCTTAAGATTTCAATGTGCATCTATATAATTATATTATAAAACTTAACTTTTTCACTGGTGCATTTTCCCCACATCATTAAAGAAGTTCCTAAAATATGATTTTTAAGTATTTGTATTGAATTCATTTATATGAATAGATCTTAATTTTGTTAGCCGAGTGCTTTTTTTAAAAAGAGGCTTTCTGTGACACTTTATTTTACAGATATCCCATGGGAATTAGTAGTAGTAAATATGAACCCAAATGTGATTTAATGGGAGAATAGTAACATCTAATATTTAATGTTCCCTTTGATGAATATTTAAATTCAATTAATTTTTCAGCATATGAAATCTTGAAACAAATTTCTGTTTATATCCTTTTAATTTCTATATGATACTTCTAAAAGATTTGCTGAATCATAAGATATGTGTATATGAGTACTTTTGGTAGATATTTCCAAATTGCCCTTTAAAAAAGCTATCCAGATTTTATTTTTCTCACTTCCCACTTCCCATTTCTCTACCCATCCAAACTCAGAGACTATAAACAGATGTTTACTTGCCATTTTTATTTCTTTTGGAATCTGTATTGTTCGTATTCTTTTCCTTTAAAAAAAATGTTCTTTGTTCATATTGTTTTTATTAATTTGTAAGACATTTGGCTATTTTATGTAAGTATTTTCCCCAGTTTTTCACTTAACTCTCTCCACAACACTTTGACGTTGGCCCATCTCCTCCATATCAGCTAGAGTGGTGATTTCAGGTACAGACCAGTCCTTTTTCCTGGGTCATACAGCTGCTAAGTACAGAGCATGGACACTGATCCTTTGGCTCTAGAGCTTCCTTTCTCAGGTTTTCTGCTACTTACTCAGTTAATTTTTGCCACTAATATACCAGACAAAATTAGTAAAATTTTCCTAGAAAATAAAATGCAGGTTTAGAACAATGCTTAAATCTTTTATAGTACTTTCTTCGAATACATCAATTTTAATTGCATGTATTTCTGGTTTTTTTTCCTTGCTGACCCTAACTAGAAATTTGCTTTTTTATAATCTTTCAAAGACAACTCTTAGTTTTTTAAAATCTGCTATTTTTCTCTCTTCTAATTCTTTAACTTTTGCCTTTATGTTTTTGATTATAGTTTCCTGGTTTTCTTTGTTGATAACAAGAGGAACCAAAAATTTAAAAACTCTTTTAAAAATATATAATGAAGATATTTAAAGTTTTTCTCTCTGTAACCATGAGAAGAGAGGGAAGGGAGGCTAATTATAATCTCCAGGGAGACTTTTCACAGATACTCCAATATTCTTTTTTCTCTTTTCCCTCCAATTGCCCCACCACACCCTAACCTACCTTTGAGGCTTATACTGTTTTATCAAGAATGCTCTCTAATGGGTGTATGTTTCCCTTGTAAGAAAATGCTGGAGTTGTAATCATATCTCATAAGTCTTTATATAATGTTCTCATTATGAATATTTTGGTCTAGACATTGAAGGTATCTTAGATGGATACATATGGTTATATGGAAGGTTCTTTTTATATTAGATGGATTATATTTTTAAAAATTTATTGATGTTTTGCTCAAGTTTCAAATTTTTCAACACCTTTTCTTAATGGTTGAAGTTTTCATATGCTGCATAATTCATCAGATGTACCAGATATGCAAAGTACTGACCACTGTCCTTGACATTAGGCCATCACAGTGATGACCAACTGTGGTCCTGGATAGGGAGTCATGCAATAAGCTCTACGAGAGTCTTCATTCTTGCAGAATTCCAGCAGTGAGTGAGCATACTATATTTGGCTTGTTGTACTGATTGGTTGAACAAATCAGATGGGTTTCTTTTTGCAAAAGGATAGCAACTTGGATTCATTTTAAATTCATCCCCACTTTTAATGCATGGTTCTTATTTATCACACATGGTTATATTTTGTTTGTATCAGCTGTTTTTTAGTTTGGAGGTTTTTTTTTTTTCTTCTTTCCCTTTATGTTTACTTTGAAGATTGTAAAAGGCAGTGTATTCTTTAAGGGTTTAAAGGCCCAGTCATAAAAAAGCACATATTTGCATAAATTTATGACTACAATAATAGTGAACTTTTATTGCTAATACTCCCACTGAATCAGTGTTTTTTGTACATTATCTCAGCCAGTGAGATTGTGAGGTAAAGTGAGAGGTTAACCACAAGAGGTTAAGTCACAGTGAGAATGTTAGAATAGAGATTTGTATCTGGGCAGCCTGTCTTAGAAGATGTAGTCAGAACCACATCTTAGGAGTCTTGTAAATCAATGCTTTAGACTTTTACAAACACTGCAAAGTGTCTTCATATTTTCCTCATTTTACCCAGCATTGTTTTATGAACATTTGGTATTTTCCTTTCTTCTTGCTTATGATGTGAACTTTTTTTGTGTGACATCTTCATTCTACACAAATGGAAGAGGATTACATCTCAATCCTAGAAATTAATGTGTGTTCATTTGTATACAGTGCAGGATGGCACAATTTTTTATAAATTTTCTCGTTGAGCTCAGACTCATTGTAAACCTTCATACAGTAAGCAGCAATGTTCGTAGTGGTTTGAGGAGGATGTGACAGTATTGTTTTAAACATTTTTATTCTAAAAGCTGCAAAAATATTGATGAACTATGTCTCTACATTGGAGGAATGGTTAGATATTAAAAATTTGACATTGGCCCTCCCTGGTGGCACAACAGGTTAAAGCACAACATTATGAAGTGATCACAGTCACTGCAGCACAAATTCAATCCCCGGCCAGGGAGGTGACCCACATGGTGTGGCAGACCTCTCCAGACCCACCCACTGCTCCCCTCAGCAGTGTATTTCATTACATCTTTGCCTGTTCTGCTCCCCACTCTGTTTCTGGTGAATCCTCTCTCACCACCCTCACCTCTGGCCTATGCCCCAGCTCTGTATGTATAGATAAATGAATCTTTAAAAAAAATTTTTCACATCCTTCTTGGATATTTAAAATACTTTCCTCCTGGTAACTTATAAACATAAATATGGGAAAATGATTAAAAGCCCAAAGATGTCACAAAACAACTCATGATCCCATTGTAAGGGAAAAGCATCTCTGACATTTTGCAGTATTTATATCATAATTTTATTTCTGCCTGCACACATTTTCAAAAATGAATTATATATTTAGTTTTATAATTTGTTCTTTAAATATATTTCATTTAAAAATATTCCAGAGGCTTACGAGCAGTGATTTTACCCTTATCTTCGTCTGTCTACCTTTAAAGAAGCTTAGTTAAAATCACTTTAATAACATTCTCCAAATGACAAAATTATAGAGATTGAGAACAGATTAGTAGTTTCCTAGACATAGGGACAGGAGTAAGGAGTGGGTGGGACTGTGAAGGAGTACATGCGGGAGGTTTTGTTTGTTCTGTTTTGCTGGAGCATTTGTGTATTATTGTTGTGGTGTACTTATGCTGATCTACTAAAAGCATAAAATTGCAGGGAACTATGCATCTGCACAGAAATGAGTGCACATGAAAACTGATGCAAACAGAATTCAGTCTTGTTAACCTTACTAAACCACTGTATTTGTATGGCTATATTGGGAGAGCTGGTTAAAGCGGTCATGGTATTCTTCGCATTAGCAGCTTCCTATGAAGCTGAGTAAATAATTCCTTAATTATTTCAAAGTAAAATTTTAAAAAGATTATTTATGCGTACAGAACTGGGCTACAGGCCAGAGGTGCAGGGGTGAGAGGATTCACCAGAGACAGAGTGGGGAGCAGAACAGGCAAAGATGTAATGAAATACACTGCTGAGAGGAGCAGCAGGTGGGTCAGAAGAGGTCTCCCACACCACCTAGGTCACCTCCCTGGCTGGGGATGGAACTTGTGCTGCAGTGGCTGCAGTAGCTTCATTGTGCTGTGCTTTAACCCATTGTGCCACCAGGGAGGCCCTAAAGTAAAATTTTTTTAACCTGCTTTATAGTAGGCAAATTGAGAATTTATTACTCTCAACTTTAAAATGCAATTTAAAGAATAGTAAATTAGATACCAAGAGACTTGTGTTTTGATCCTGTCTCTACTGATGACTTTTGGCTGGTCTCTTCTAATCTTTATTTTCTTTTCCAGAAAATAATTGTATTAGAAAATCCTAAGATCCCTTCAAACTGATAGAATGTATAGATTTCTGTGAACCAATACTTAGTTTGTAAAGAATGAATACTATTAGTATATTAGATAAAGTCTAGAGGTTAGGGGCTTATATAACCTTGCAAGTTTATTTCTGTCTTTTCCTATGTGTCTCCCTGTTACTCTATTAGACGTTTGATGAGACCATGGGACTTAGTCCCTTAAGGACCTTAACAGGGTGATGGGTACTAGGAGGTACTTATGTATGTGTATATATATATATATATCTCGACTAAAATTTTAAAAAGACAATACTTACATGTCAAAACATATGAATAGTAATTCCTACAGGATTTCTGAAAGAGGATTTATTACATATTCTGAAAAATACATAATAAAAAGGAAATGTGAGTCAGGAGACCAGTGTACCTACTGGGTTCACTGCAGTATCCAAGGAAGAAGTTGAATATCAGTTGTACTATGTCCTAGGTTTATCAGTAATTGCATCTGAAAGGATGTTGCAAGGATTTGCTGTTACATTGGATCATATCCAATTATCCCTCTTCTTCCTGCCTCTAAGTTTAGACTTACTCTGTAATTTGAGTTGTTGAGTTAATAGATGATAAATTCATCTAGATTTACTTGATGTTTTCTGCTTCTCTCTCTCTCTCTCTTTTTTTTTTTTTTTTTTTTGTCTCTTTGATCTTTCCTTCTCCTCCAACCAACTTCAGCTGAAAAAAGAAAGGGTGGGCAGACTGTGGATTCTAGCCTCCCACTTCTAAGTGTTTCTGATCCTTTCATTCCTCTTCAAGTACCTGATGCACCAGGTAGGTAAATAGAACTGATCTGAGGTTAAGTAGCTTGGTTCTTATATTCCAGGACCTCTTAAGAGTTCTGTTTTAAAAGGATCTGAATTCCAAGGACTAATAATAGCTGGTGTTGGTGTTTTCACGGTGTTTTAATAAGATGGGCAGCATTCTTTCAGCATCTTAGAGAAGATAATAAAATCAGTTTACATTATACTGAATGGTATTCCACATTATGTCAGTGTTCAGTTTTTAATCCTTGACTGTGTTAATGTAATATGAAGGCCTGTGTATTGGAAACATTAGTCCAATATGATTATAACAATGGGGGGGAGGCATGTGATAGAAGAGCACAAAATGCTCAAGTGGTTATAATGATTAGATTAAGGGTGACTTCCTTTCTAGTTCCTATTTTCCTATAATATGCTTTTATTTTATAAGATAAAATACATAATAAAAAGGAAATGTGAGTCAGGAGGCCTGGGTTACCTTGCTGGGTTACCTTGCTGGCTCTACTACCTGAAAACCTTTCTAGCTTCACTGTCCTTAGTGAAGTAAGTTAGACTACAAAAGTTCGAATATACCTTTAGATCTGTCATATCCTGATTTTTAAGTCAGCAATCTTAACAAAGTAAAAAATGCTCAATGTGGTTTGATTGAACCAGCTTTTGAAACTGTATTTGGATGCTTTCCACTTAGAGGTCATGAATGCCAAAGATTTTTTCTTCCTGTTCTCCTTTCTATCCTTCTGGGGGTGAGGAAGAGAGCAAATGTGAGGAAAAGAAGCCACTATTTCTCCTCTCTATGAGTGTCTTAAAAAGAAACTGCCTCTAACTTCTTAGACGCATCTGGTGGTCATCTTGCTGTCAAGATGGAGTAGACTTGGAAAGGATTATCAGAATTGTCTTCCCCTTTTCCTCATTCTTAACATGCTTTTTCTTGCTCTTGAACTAAGATGATCTGCTTGACTTTTCTTCTCTCCAAGAATGTTAAAGGAATTCGATTGATTATCTCAAGATTGGAAGTGATTGTGATGTGCATACATTATTCTATATACTGAGACAGACTGCAACAGGGGTACCAACAGTTATTTTTGTAGACAATTTGTTGACCTTTTTAAGGGATTGAGTCATGTTTTGATTTGGTAATATTGTGTAAATTTATAGCTTGCTGGACCAAATGTAGTTCAAAAATACCTAAAATCACAGAGAAATAATTTGGAATAGAGTAGTTAAAGAAAAGGAAAGAGAATCAAGTAGTTTATTTCTCTACTTCATCCTTAAGGTATACCTCACAGAACAGGACAGTTTTGAGCAGAAAACGGGAAAAGTAGAGACTGAAAAAGCAGACTTTGAACCACTGGCTGTTTTCTTCCTGTTGTGGCAGTCATAACAACAGATAAGGAATACTCTCTGACACCTGTTCAGATTCTTGCCTTGCTCTTTCCTAGATAGTCCATGGGCTACAGAAGTTGGAAGGGTTACCCCTTGCCACAGGCCAGAAGGTGAGGACACACAACCAAGTTGCTGTCCTTTGCAGCTGTCACATCAGCCTTCTGGATCAGGGATGAGAAACCAGACATACTTACCAGATAGCTCCAGATAGCCTCTATGGTTGAGTTATAAGGGGATTGAACCCATATGGCACAGGATCCTCCAAATTTCTCTCATTCTGGCACATTCTTGTGAAAGTGTTACTGACATAACACTTTAATAATGTATACAAGTTGGTAGTAAATATACCATTTAAGTCATGACCCCATCTGTATTTTAATGGAAAATATATTAAAGTTGAATGTTCTAATAAAGAATTCAGGAGTGTCTTAATTTGCTTTCTGATCTGTCAGACCTGACTTACATGTTGAAAACAAGTCAGACATGTTACTCCCTTGTACTTTAGTTAAATCCCATATCACTGAGTGAAATGCGTTATTTCTTACCATGATCTCTAAGGCTCTAACTGATCTGGTCCTTGGCTTCCTCCTTAATCTGAACTCCTAACATTCTTCCCTTTAATCTCTCCTCCAGCAGCATTAAATCAGTTTATACCTCAAGGCATTTGCACTTGCTAGTGTTCTGCCTGGAAAGCTTTTTCCCCAAGTCTTCCTTTTTGTCATTCACCATTTGAACCTCAAATGCCATCTCAGAGAAGTCCACAAACCCTTACCTAGTTCTCTAAGAAAATAATCTTTTTATGAACCAAGCACTTTAATTTATATACATCCACACAGATTAATTCTGATAAGTATTCCTGTATAATCCTAGTACTCCTTTAAAGTAGTTGTTAGTCTTTATTATAGGTAAGAAAACTGATGCTTAAAAAGGTTAAATAACTTAAACTTAAATTCATGCTCTTTGGCTCTACCATGTTGCTTATTTATTTAGGAGAATTTTACTGACCCCAGCTAAAATCCCCAAAATGTACAATATCACTATGAAAGATCAAATACATAATACTCCTCCCAGATCCAAGTATTCTCCCTGCCCACTCCTCCTCCCCCCCCCCCCCCAAAAATCTAGAGTCTCAAGCCAGTTCTAAACATAATGAAGAAGACTAGGAATAGATACAAAACTGGACCATTTTCTTCTGGCCAGATGTGTCGGTGCACTCAGGTACTGGGTTCTACCATATAGGAGATGGAAAATTCTTGCAGAATGTTTCAGAAGATTAAATCACTGAAAATGCAATTTAGGAATTATGTTATGGTTTTATCTATCACTTTGTGTGATTGAGAATAAGAGTGTCTGTATACATTTCAGTTTTTACAGGACCCAGAAATGTGGTTTTGCTTTTGCAAATGGCATCCAGAGAAGACATTTTATGTGATTCAGTAGAATTTTAAGCCTTTGTATAATAACTATTAGCAGTTGAGCTTGATTGAGGTTCTGAATTAACTACCTTTTTTCTCTGTTTTGCTTTTCCCTACCTCCTCATCAGGCTATATGACCTCAGAGTGTTTTTATAAAACTGCAAGAGGAATAAAATTTATAGATAGAATTTGTAAAATGAAGACTATCAAGGCTAGAGCTTGATGTACATAGAATTTCTCAAGGCTATATATGACCTACAGACTCTCAGCCTCCCATAGCCTTTTCTTTTTTTTGTCTCCTATGACATCCTGTTATTGAGTTCTTCATTCACAGTGACTAAAATTGCCATTAACTATAAGATAGTCTTCACATTTTAAGGCAATCAAAGCCTTAATTAAACCAGAGTACTGGAGCTTTACTGTGTTGAAGATCTGGGACCTAGCCCAGGTGATTCTGAAGCTTATTTACTGTAACTCTTGGGCAATTTGCTTCACCTTCCTAGAGCTGGTTTCTTCATCTATAATTGGATAAAATCATTTTCTAGTACCAACATGTCTTTGATATCTTGACCATTGCCCATGGGACTGTATCAGTGTGAGGCTCTTCTTCCATTGTTGGAGACTATAGACCCTTTGGAAGCATGTAGAAATAACTTTGATATCAAGTCCAGGATATGCCATGTCCCTTCTATATAACTTTAGGCAAGTCACATGCCCCATAGTATCAGTATTCCTACATGCAGTGTTGCTGAATAATGTTTATGAATAATAAAGAAAAGTGTTTTACATTAAACTCTACAAATGTAAGTGATGGCCATTGTATAATGGCACATAGGGGACAAAGACTCAGTAACTGAGAGCTCTCACTTTGAGAGGACTGGGAGTAAAAGAAACTGTTTCTGTACATGCTATCCTCCTGCTGTGTGTGGGTCTATCACCTCACTCTAGTTTTTTGCCTGCTCTTACTGTTTTCTGCTGCACCTACCATATTTCCAATGTTAGAGTATTACCAAGCAGCAGTGACCATGCACTTTATATATGTGAACTGCCTTTTTCTTTTTCTCTGAGGTTTGGTCTGATGATCAGCCTTCCTAAATTTGGTAACTTACTCCATGCCCACTCAGTTCCATCTTACCACCACAACTCTTATTCAACACCATGCACATACACCCTTTAAAAAAACAAAACAAAAAAAAACCTTGTTCATGTGCTTTTTGCTAAATGCTAACAATTAGATTTTTGTTGAAGTACCTTACTCTTTCCAGCTGATGCCCTATTCTCCCCACTTCCCTGGTGAAGCCAAAAGACAGAGAAGAAAGGACTGAAAAGATTTAATAAGGCATCTTCCCGGCCTTTAGCCATGTGATGAGGGTTGTAAGACAAGTGAGCACCTAGTGCTCCAGAAGGTTCTTAATGTGGCAGGGAGTAAGGAGTAAACTTAGAGGAGCTGATTGATACTTGAGTAACCAATACAAAAAGACAGGGGAAGTTTCTCCATTTTTACAGTTGAGGAGGTAATGTCAGAAGTGTAAGGAACAACCAGACACTGGAAAGGCTAAAGTTCAAATTCTGGAAGAATGCTGGTCTATGAGTTTTGTGGTCAGAAATACTGTATGAAAGATAAACAAGTAATTTGGATCTTTAGTTCTTTTGCTTTTTAAGATTTCAAATATATTTGTACTAAAAGTAGAAAAAGCATATAACTACATACTTTAATTGAAAGATAACTTTTTTGGAGGATAAAACAAAAACAACTAATTAGAAGAATGAAAAAATTGAACTTTGGGAAAAACTATTAGCAAACTGAAAATTTGTTAGCAAACTGGAAATTATAAGAGATGTTTCTAATATAATAAAATGTGAGATACAGAGCAAGATTAATGCTGATATGATTACACTTGTATACCTGGTCAGTACCCTGGTTGTTCCCCCTGATGTTGAGATACTTCTTTCATCCTTCCATTCTCCAATATGAATCAGGTGTAAATAAGAAATGTAACATATCACCACTTAATTCAAAGATATCTCAGTATGACAGTATATATTAAAAAGATGGTAAGTGGTTTTCATCAATAAAAATATCTTTTTCTGTAGTGTTAGTTGTATCAAAGCAAATTATCTTGCCAAGACACTGAAAATCCATTTTTGCTTTCATCATTTTAGTTATATGTAAATTAAATAGAGATGACCAAATATTAGATTCCTATCCCTCAAAAAATATTATTAGTCCTTGTTTATCTTGATTCCTGATGGCCTATAAGAATATAGGTTAATTAACATGTTATAGACAAATACTTGAAATCTTTGTTGTTTCTTTTTTGCAAAATTTTAATTTTAGCTTCATCTTAATGATGTTTTATTTCTATAATAGAATAAACATTATTGCTAGGCCTTGAACTGGGCAAATTATAGAATTTATGTAACCACAGTCTCCTTGAGAATAAAAGGGGATATGAGCTCTTAATTTTCCTTTTCCTATGAGAGCCTGTGACTCAAATTATATGCTATCATGGATAGGTTAAAGGCTAATTCATAGTTGTTGACAGGTCAAGGCTAAAGGAATTATTTGGGAAGGATTTTAATGTATCCATGTTGTCATACATTTAAGTTATTGGGCGTGACAAATATGGTAGCTTCTAATGTCCTTTTATTTGTTTTTGAAGCCAAAAGACATAAAAAAAAAAATCCATCTGCAGGCTTAAGTGAATTGTGTGAGATTTGATCATAAACCAGTGAGTACCAGTATGTCATAGACTTAGTTGGTAGACAACAAATGATTGTTGAAGTTAACTTAGTTATGATTTAATTGATTCTTTTAGTGCATTATAAACCGTTTTTAAATCCAAGTCCAAAGCACAGAGACTCAGAACTAAGCCCAGAAAAGGATTTGAATACAGAGACTTATATGCAAATGTTGATGGCAGCTTTCTTTTCAGTAGCTAAAATTGGAAACAACTAGATGTCTATCAACTTGTGAATGAATCCACAAAATCCATTCAGAAAATGGATCACTTCTCAGCATAACACAGAGCAATCTACTGATGCATGTGATAACATGGTGGAATCCACTAGGCAGAAAAGACTATATACTGTATAGTTCCACTTATAGGACAGGCTTGAAAAGGTAAAACTGTAGAGACAGAAAGCAGATCATTGTTTCCAGGGTCTGGGGCATAAGGGTTTTTTGGGGGATATAAAAAATCCCTATTTCATTGGTGTTTACATGAATGTATACATTTATCAAAACATCCAATTGTGTATTTAAAACTAATGACAGTTATTCAGTGTAAATTATACCTGAAATTTAGAAACAAACTTCAGGCAGCATCTTGAATGTTTCCCAAAGTAATCATTTCAATTGGGGAAATAATTATTCATAAACTTCAAAACATTGAAAACTTATTCTCAGTAAGATAATGGATCCATACAAAATTTCGACCATCTAAAATGTTTGCAAGAAAACAGTGGAAGATCACCTTGCTTAATATCTCATTCTGTTTATGCTTTCTTTCTTTCTATTTCTCTGCCCAACCTAGAAAAACTAATTGAGGGCCTCAAATCTCCTGACACTTCTCTTCTGCTCCCTGACCTCTTGCCTATGACAGATCCTTTTGGTAGCACTTCTGATCCTGTAATTGGTAAAGTCAACATCTCTGTTTCTTCAGTCATGTATGATCTGTATGTCTTTTTCAAGAATAACTGATTAGAGCTTCCTAACGAATGGCCCTGATGAGGATTAGAAATGCTATATGACCTCCTGGTGTTGGAAGCTTGTGCTCACCAGAATCCAAGGCTATTTGCTCTTACTTCTTATCACCACAAAAATAGTATTTTCCTTCTAGGGGAAGGGCACTGTTCTTTTTGCCTTTCCTGAATCTGTAATGAATGAGGAGGAATGTGGAAATTTTCACATTTGATTACAAGAACTTTATGAAATAAGCTGGTTTTGAATGTTAGTAGATTCTTTTTTAGAAGATCTCTGTATGTATCAAGTATTAATTACAGAAAATATTTGCCCAATGGTGAAGACCCACAAGTAAGGTCCAGCCAGGACCTTGGTCTACTCACTCTGCTTTTTTCTTGTGCTCCACTGCAAGGCAGTCAAGACCTCTAAAATATCCAGGGAAACAGGCTTAGATGTCTCACAGGCAGAGTACCTCCCAACTGCATTGTGAGATGGGGGTTGAGATGGACTGGTAGTCTTTGCAAGACATAGCAAATGCTTATTCTCAAGTTTATCCCTGAGGTACCCAAAATAACCAGAAGATGCTAAAGTGCTTTTCAGTCTGTGTCTTCTGACCTGGAAGAGATCTGCTGGGCGGGGTGGGGTGAGGATGGGGGGGCTCACATTCTTCATTTATCTGTAAAAACTGAGAATCACTGGGACTATCCCCAAGTGACTAAACTTGCCTATAGATGCTCAGTCAGTGAAGACCAGACACTTAAAACAGAAGAAATGAAGTAACTGTACTTTCTTTCTTACTGACACTGGCATTTTAGAACCTTATAAAGGAAAGCCTTGACAGTATTGTTTAAGGAGCCATCTGATTCCCTTTCCCTTACACTTTGCTCTTCTTTCTTAATGCCTTTACAAAAGAAAAAGCTGATGTTGCTGTTGAGAGTCTCATACCAGGGCTGGAGCCTCCAGTGCCCCAGCGCCTCTCTTCTCAGACGGAATCTGTGACCTCAAACCGAACAGGTCAGTCAGGTGTCTCGGTAGCTGCATGAATGGGTCAAGTGTGCTGAGCCTCAGAGCCCATCTCTCCCCCTACAGCAGATGAACCTGGGCTTACTTTGCAGCCAACTTAAGTTAGTTCCTCCAAGAGTGAATGGTTTGTATTATAGCCCCATCCTCTAGATTTTGAGTAATATATTTCCTCACCAACATACTTGTAGTCACCAAAGTGGGCAGAGTACTTTTTGGAGCCATGTTTTTTTGTTTGTTTTTTTTTTAAGTGACCCCTGGGTTTTCTCTGATTATAGTATTTATTTATTCAAGATTCTTTCCGTTGGTGACAGATTCACTCCACTTCCCTAAGTAAAGATCTCTGCTGAGCCATAAGGATGCCCTTAGATTCCTGAGCAGTCTTTCCTATCTAATAGTGTCATGTCAAATAGCTCATGTTCTATACGTTGACATTCATTTCCCCTCGCAGTGTTTTCATCATATGCAGGTGATTTGATGTTAAATTTTTGCAAAGTTGAAATCCTCCCTGGATCCAGTATTGCTTTCACAATAATTTCAGAATTCACTCTTTGTAGAATTTCATTAATGTGATTTTGATAGTCTTCATTTTAATTAGGTCCATATTGGGGGCCTCCCTAGTGGTACAGGGGTTAAAGACAATGCTATCAAGCTATTGCCCGCATGGGTTTGATCCTTGCAGGCCAGGGAGCTGAGCCACATGGTGCAGCAGACCTCTCCAGTCTCACGCATTGCTACTGCTAGCAGTATATTTCAGTAGATCTGCCTGTTCTGCTTCCCAAATCTCTGGTGATTCTTCTCACCTCCCCTGCAACTCTGCACCCTAGTTCTTATATGCATAAATAAATAAATATTTTAAAAAAGATTTTATTTAGTTATGCATACAGAATCAGAGTACAGGCCAGAGGTGCAGGAGTGGTGAGAGCATTCACCAGAGGCAAAGTGGGGAGCAAAACAGGCAGATGAGTACATACATGACTGTTTTCTTCTAGAAAAATTTCCTAGAAAAACAGTGTTAAAATGCTTGAACTTTAAATTTTGTCTTTTGTTCTTTAACTAAAAGCAAGATCTTATGTTCAAAGGAACGATTTAAACTTAAAGAATACTAGTAAGAGGCAGTATCTTTCTATTTTGAGTAGGAATCTTGTTTAGTCTGGACAGCAATGTTTAATTATGTCATTCTGCTAATAAGCCAGAGAAAACCCTGTCCAATGTGGACATCTCATCCTATAGTAACTTTGTTCCATGAATGTTTAAGGAAAATATAAATGATGCTCTTTAATAGCAAAATCCTTTTAGTCAAACAATACTGACTAAACTGAGTTGCTGAAGTTATATTAGCATCCAGATATAAATCAACAACCTCTGAGCAAAAAATTCTTTCATATTTATGTATTAATGTACAAAGAATCTGAAAAGATACTTCTGTAGATAGAAATCCAGAATGCTTAATATGTTTCCTTTGGTTTTCTTTCTCCTACTTCGGCTTGTATTATAACACATAAATGCAGTGACTTAAGGCTAATGTCTAATCTCATGATGTTGTGTGTATCATTTAATGCCATCCCTGACCTGGATGCTGTTAATCTGGACTCAGATTCTCTCACCGGGGAAGATTCCCTGATTGATTGCTCTCTACTTTCTAACCCTACCACTGATCTTCTGGAAGAATTTGCCCCTATAGCGATCTCTGCTTCGGCCCATAAAGGTAAATGTTTTCCTCTTCCCAGACCCATATATATCAAATGAAGGAAAAGAACTGAACAATTCCTGAGAATTTCCTTTGCCAAAGTGTTTCCTAGTGAAGGTTTTTAACTACCCCTTCTGTGAGAAACTTGAGTTTGTGCTCTTAGCCACTGATTTGCAGTCCATATCTATAAAAATCTTTAATAATGCTGAGACAACAGTCTGGCTTTCTGGAAATCACCTGGACTACAGATATTCCATGTTATCTATTAAAAACAGAGCTACATGCCTTTGCATCATTCAAATAGATGTTGCCAGTTAATGATACACTAACTGATTATTAATATATAATATTTGCTGGCCTAAGAATTTAAATTATCATCTGGTTTAACAAGTTTTTGAATAATGATTACTTTTATAAAGAAATAGGCATTATTCCTCTAAAGTTAGTCTTCAAACATTGAACTTATAAAATTTTGGACTTTAGTATACTTTAAGTCATGATTATTTCTCTTTCTAATTTACCATTTTCATTTCTTAGTCTTGAATTAATATTGACTTGAAATTCTGCTGTGTGTTTGGGTGGTAAATGTGGTTTTCTGGAAGGAGAAAATGTGCAGAGGGGAGAAGAGCTTACTCCTTAAAAGGAAATTCAAGAAGGAAGTCTTCCCCAAGGTCACTAAAAATAATTAGCCTCTTGTTTGCAATGATAGTAGCTGAGTTTTTGTTTTTACCCTTGATAGCATTGAAATAATTACCTTTTTATAGAATGTGTAGAGAGAAATTACCTGTTTAACCAATTATATCTGGCAGGAGCATGTCAGCAACAATGTGTAATTACAGAGAAACTTCTCTTGCAAAATAGGTGCTCAGCTAGCCCTTGCTAGTAAAACAGCTTTAATTAGCATTGAGATTTCTAGCAAACTTCTGTTTGAAGTCTCAGTGCATGGATTTTGTACCCCAGTGGTTCCTAAGACATAAAGTCTTTTTCTCCCAGTCACTGGACAATGAGTCCTTTCAGAAGTGAATTTTGTTTGTCTTGTATATAGTGATTGCTTCTTAAAAAGCAACTAATTACTTCCCACTACTTCCCCATCACTTTCTGAGTTTTTTTTTTTTTGGATATTACTACTCAGGCCGTTGATCAATGAGTAAAGAAGAGACACCTTACAGGAAATACAAATAATGGTCTTATACAAAGAGTTCTTCCTATAACCCACCTTCCTAATCATTTATGAAAATCTTAACATACCAGCTCTAAAAGCTTTTTTTCCTATCTCACTGTTTCCTAATTTTGCTTTTTATTTTATTTATTTTATTTTAACTCAAGAAAAAGAGCATTGTCACCTTTAAAAACATCAGTAATTGTATAGTTGGGATCTTTGTGTCTCTTACATAATCTATCATTTGCTAATCTCTGCCTCTGTTATTTCTGCTTGTATGCTTGCATTCTGTGTTAAGCTACAGAAGATAGTAATCTCATCTCAGGTTTTGATGTCCCTGAGGGCTCCGACAAGGTGGCAGAAGATGAGTTTGACCCTATTCCTGTACTGATAACCAAAAACCCACAAGGTAAGAAAGAGAGGATGAAGAAAAGAGAAGGGCTTGGTCAGCTTCTTCAAAATAGTTAATGTAACTAATCTATAAAGGGAGGGGAGGAAGCATCTTACTTAATGAAAGAAATTGGGGGTAATGACAACCATTGTCGACTAGACCAGCAGAGATAGATAGCTATCGCTAGACATACTGATATAGGATTCTTAAAACTTGCATATGGTATTTATTTAGAGAAAAGTATTTAATAGTTTGACGGCAAGCAGGTTTTTACAAAGTATGCAGTAAAAATAGTGGTTTTTCAGTCAATTGAACCTGAAAGCATAAATTTTTAAACAACACTGAACATTTTTAAAATCATGATTCGAACAACCTGTAATAAATACTTTTCCTAAAGAGATTAATGTATTTTGAGTACATTTGCATCTTTTGGACATTGGTGAAGCATCTTTTTTTCTCTTTGATGGCTTAAAATCATTTGAACTTGCCATAAAACACTGAATTGCCATAAAACACTGAATTGCCATAGGACTGCCTATTTATATTTTAGAACATGTTTTTATGGTAATGGTCTTACTGATTTCTCCCCAAAGGAAAAAAAAAATGCTGATTTTTATCTAATCAGGGAGGTTACTCAGTGTTGTCAGGAAGCTAGCATATAGTTAGCAGTTCTCAGGCAAAACATACTCCTCTTTGCAAGCCGTCTTGCCTCTTGTATAGTGTACATACAGTGCCTAACTTGTGGGAGGTGGTGGATGTATTTAAACATCAACATTTAAAGAGTTTGCAAATGTAAATTGTTGCTTCTCTAAGGGTTTGTTTTGTTTTTGTTTTTTTTTCTCCTTTGCTTGCTCTGCACATCTGAACCTTAACCCTCTGTGTTTTGTACTGAATTCCTATCTCTCCACTTCCAGGTGGGCACTCTAGAAACAGCAGTGGGAGCTCTGAGTCCAGTCTTCCCAACCTAGCCAGGTCTTTACTGCTGGTGGATCAGCTCATAGACCTGTAGCCGTGACCCAGTAGCAGATGCAGTTCTGTAACCTTCATACCGTAATATACATTTCATTACGGAGTTATAAGAAAAAATGATTTTTAAAAAAAATCTGCAAATAAGGGGCCCTCTGGCCCATATCTCCTCTCCTTTGCCTTCTCCTCTAGAATTGATAAGGAAAGAAAATTTCTTTGACCCTCCAGATACTCCTTGGCCAGTCCTTCCCTGTTAGTTTGCTGTGTTTTCTCATTACCATTCTTCAATAGCATTATCTTAAATCAAGCGCTAGATGCCATGAGCTTTACCTCTGCTGGAATCAATTCCACCAAAAGCTTAACTGTAACTGAAACTAGTGAATTGACACCTTTGTCTCATTCTTGCTAGGAATGACTTCCCAGATCAATCCTCCCAGCCCTTGTCTCCTTTGGCCAGATGCTGATGAATGTGTTTCTGTTTTTGCTTTTTATCCTGTTGCATTGTCATAAGGACTTGGCTTCTTCCGTTGGTCTTAACTCTAGGCAGTAGCCTGGAGATGTGTGTGTGGTTTCAGAGAGGATAAAACTGACTGATGGTATTTGTTTGAAAAGAGAAATGAGCCGAGCTCTAGCCAACCAACTTTGACCTTGTTTGATCATAGACTTAGCCAAGGGATTTTACACCCCATGCAACCTGCTCAGCATTCTGCAGCATTCTGGCTTCCATTGAACCGTGATTTCTCAGATCTGGAGACATGACTGCAAGTACTTGAGATCCCTGGATAAAATGTGTACATTATATAAATCCCAAGTATTGCCATTCCTTTTCATGTTAACTATCCCAAGCTGGGGTCTCAGAATTAGACCAAAATAAGACAATGGTGGTAAAATGATTCCTTTTAATAGAAGACTTTTCACTGGGGATGGGAGGGGGGGAGGGTGGAAAGGGGAAGGGAAGGAATTGTAGCAGAAACAGATGTATTTTTCTTGTGATTTTTATTTTGAATCGAAAATTGTAAATTGTGTATAAATGAAGACACTAAATAGTTCTGTTTCCACTTGGCGTTTCAAGTCTGATATCAGTTGTCTGTACAGGGTTTTGATCTCTTTCCCTTGTATAACTACACAGCTATCCTACAGTGTAACATATGGAACCATTTTGAGTAGACATACGTGTTGCTATAAGCTTTCAACAGGTCCTCTGTCTTTGTAGAAGAAGCATGTTGTTTGTTTTCAGGTAATCAAAAATAAGTATGCTGACAAGCTAGGTACAATTTGACCGTGACCACTTACTTTTCTTTCTTTCTGATGTTTGAATTGAAGGCTGCAGCCAGTGAAATATGTTCAGTTGATTTTCTTTGGCTTTTTAGATTAAGAAAACAGAACAAAACAAAGCGTAGTTCCCCACTAACTTTAGAATATTGTTCATAAAATAAATAAAGGACCCTGCACTAACATGACAAATTGCCTCATGGTCACCCTCTATATTTGTGCTTACTTACTGAAGTGTATTTTTTTCCTTACATGGAAAGCAATTTTATAAAATCATCCTTTTGAAGAGGTAGGCACAGAGGAAGCCCATTGTGGTTCTCTTCCTTGAGTGCCATTTTCCATGGTCAAAAGGGAAATTTAGTTGATTGGATTTGTACAAATAAAATTCCAAGACCACTTGCTTGTTTTTCTATCTAGTACTTTTGTTTCTTCTTTTTCACATGTGCACTTTAAAGGGGCTGGGGTGTGTGTGGGGGGGGGGGGTCGAATTTAACAGCAACAACAACCTGCAAAGCACTGCACTTTGAGGGTCAAACTTTGACCCCAGCAATGTGAGAACAGCCTTTGAAGTGCATCAGAGGAAAAGTCTGGATCTTTCAGTCTTCCTTCTGATGTTAAATTCAGCTTAGCTGAAACCAGTTGAGCTAAGTAAAGGCTTCTGTTAGGATAATGGATCATTTTCAAAAGTGTGGGAGGTATAACCTTCCTGCTGAGGAAAATAAAAAGATATCCAAGAAGAGCTCTTTATGATTAGATAGCAGTGGAGTTGGAATTTGGTTTGCCCCTTTATGGACAGGAAACTGACTGAAGATCAGACTTGTATGCTTTTTCCTGGACATAGAATATATATATAGACTAATGAAGGAAATATTTATTTTTAAATAAGATAATGTTTGTGCCTATGTTTTCCAGTTTGATTTTTTAAATAATATTGTTAGAAATATAATGAAATATCTCGTTGCTCTATTTAATTAAAACCATGAAGAATACATTTCAGAAATTAGGTGTTTTTAAGTTGTTCCTTTCATAATTATCCACATTTACATTGAGATATACTATCTGGTCATCCGACTCAATAAAGTTCAATAGAGACTTAATGAAAATGAACAGACTAGAGGTCAGAGACTTGATGAAGGAAGCCAGAGAGAGTTAATGACATAAGTTACCTTGAGCTTATTATCTAAGGATAGGTTCTTAAAGGGGGAAAGTATTTTTCTGTTAAGGGTTACATGTGAGTGACTGAGTTAAAGGCATTTTCCTTAATCTATAACATCATTCCTGAGCTGAAAGAGTTTTCTTAAGATGAGGATAGTGTGTTGATAGTTGATAGATTTATAAGGCTGTAGGTTGAGCTACAAGAGGGACTGTAAAGACTGTCCTCTAGTCCATCCACTTCATTTTATAGATGTTCAACCTGCAGCAGGGTAGTGGGAGAAGAGGAATGGGCAAGACAGGCCACCCTGGATTTTAGCACTGAAGATCACTTAGCCAGTAATCATCACTTCACTTCTCGGACCTGCTGTTTCTTATTTATAAAATTCAGGTGTTTGGATTGGATGGCCCTTAAAATTATAGAATTCTAGGGTTTTAAGGATATATTATTATACTTTGGAAGGACTATGAAGGATTTATATAATCCTGATGTTCTTTAGTTGTTTTCTAATAGTTCTTACCATTACTGTAACAGCATTTACATTTTAAAGAATTATAGTGGGCTTTGAGTAAACTGAGTTACTTTTTCTTGGTTATCTGGCTAAAAGTCTAAATCATCACTGAAAAATCTAGACATAGATTTTCCTTGTTTTTAGTATTATACACACCTCTATTTCAACAAAACCACATCAGCAGACTTCAGATACTGAGGAATTCTTTGATGATATATATTTAGTGTTCTACCGTTTTAAATACAGGCAGTTACTGTACACATGTTTCTGATTTGCTTTTAAAATTCTAAGTGTGCACGAGTATTAGCTATACCAGAAAATAACACAAATTGCCCTTTTCCCCCCCCACATACATAGCATTCAAATAACTAGATCACCAATTCAACCCCCCCTTGTATTTCAAAACACAGAGGATGTAAGGTTTAAACATATTCTTCCACATATGGTTATAGTTAGTAATTTCTTTAACAGACATATCAGAATTTTGATATCTAATTGAATGCTGTTCCCTTCACAGGCATCTGGTTTTACTTAGGAAGCTAATTTTTTTCTAGTGATGCTTCATTATTTATTTTCAGAATTCCTCTCCTTAGAAATAACATTAAGGAAGATAGGATATAAAGAAATCATTTGTATTATCTTATTAGCGTTGCTTTCAGCATCTAAAAGTGTATTCTTTACCTACTTTTTCCCCACTCTTGGTTCTGGGCTATATTTAATTATTTCCAAAAAGCAAAACCACCCCCTAAGATGAAGGTGGTTACTATTAAAGATAGCAAAACGGATAAACCACAGAAAATTTCATGAGAGGGCTTAATCATGAACATGATAATAGCTTAATTTTCTTAAAATTCTAAATATGGAAACTCCTATGGTTTTCTCTGTCTTTAGTATGGTTTAAAAATTGAGTTTTAAAATACCCCCAAAAGATGTTGTCACATGTTTAGTGCCACTATTAAAGGTGACTCTTCCTAAGTTAGAATTATAAGACCAGGATTGCTAAGTTATAGGGGAAAAGATTCAAGAAAAAAATATCTTTTTTTCTCACAATGAAATACTAGTTTTTTTAAATACTTTTTTCCTATTCTGTTAGAAGATAATTGGTCATTTTGATTC